ACCATAAACTCTGAACCCAACAAGTCTAGCCCTGAAACCCAAGAAACCTCTCCCTAAACCCCTAGGGATTAGAGTTTAGGATTTAGGTTTATCGTTTAGGGTTTAAACCCTGAACCCTAACCCTGAACCCAACAAGCCCAACCCTAAAACCCCGGGGGGGGGGATCTGAGAGTATATTTATACAGGGACTATGCGGGAATACTATTACTGCTTCTTCCGACCCCTTACATTCAACCCTAAACCCTAAACCCTAAACCCCAAACCCTAAACCCTAAACCCTAAACCTCCTAAACAGACCCAGAGGCCCAAGGTCAGGCTGATCAGGAGAAGGCCCACCCAGAGACCCAGAAACAGCAGCAGGTGCCTTAGAGCCGCTCAGGGGTTTAGGGTTTAGGGTTTAGGGTTTAGGGTTTAGGGTTTAGGGTTTAGGGTTTGGGGTTTGGGGTTTGGGGTTTGGGGTTTAGGGTTTAGGGTTTCGGGCTCAGGGATCCCGAGGTCATAACGCCCCCAAAGACAGAGGTTTAAGGACCTTCGGGTTAGGGGGAGGGGCGGGGGGGGGGGGCGGCAAGGCCTACCCCCAAACTGCGCAAACCTAGGGTTCAGCTTCAGAGACCCCCCCCCAAAAATCCCCTTCATTTCCTTGGGTTTTTGGGTTTTTGGGTTTAGGGTTTGCGGGTAAGGGTTTAATTCGGGTTCAGGGGTCAAGGTTCACTGAAGATTCCGTGATGAAGAGATACTGGCATCACCGGGCATCCCTTCACAGCTCTGGTTGCAAAGAGCGACTGAGAAGTGTCTGAGCACCCTAAATATAGCGGCCCGCATTACAAGAGGTGCCCAAAGCAAAGACCCTTCATTCAGGGAGCCGCTCATATGTCACACAGAAGGCGCGGGAGAGGGAGAGGGAGGTTTTAGGGGGGTAGGGTTTCGGGTTTACGGTTCTGCCAGGATGCGTTTGTGACTCTTCCCAATTTGCTGCGACGTACCCATCGCGAGTTGTAATGGTGGTGAACAGATCTTTCGCACGCGTATCCTGGGACAATGGCCCCACTTTGCCCGAAGCTAGTAGAGCCTAGACCACCCCAAGATACCCCAAACCCGAAACCCTAAACCCTAAACCCCAAACCCTAAGCCGCCATCCCAAGGCCTTTCAAAACTGAATCACGGCTCACAACTCGCAACTGCCCTCCATGTCGGCTCCTATGCTCGAGGCTATTCTTCGGGTTCAGGGTGTGGAGGTTGAGACCTTAAACCCCAAACCCTAAACCCTAAACCCTAAACCCTAAACCTCTGCCCCAAACCCCCCAAAAACCTTGAACCTCCAACAACCCAGGCTCCCGTCCTTTATAGGGTGCTTAAGGGAGGAAACTAGGTACCAAGGGAACCTTAGGGAAGCTTAGGGAGCCGTGGGGAGTAGTAGGGGTTACCCTAAACCCTAAACCAAGAGCCCTAAACCCTAAACCCTAAACCCCCCCCCTTGAACCCTTAAAGTCCTCCAGGGTGGTGGTGTTCGTGTCGTTGAACTCGCCATCCCCGTCACCGTCCATTCGGAGAGGTCGTCACCACCGTCAGAACCTGGAGACAGGCCACTGGATGGTTTAGGGTTTTAGGGTTTAGGGTTTTAGGGTTTTGGTTTTAGGGTTTTCGGGATTAGGGTTTAGGTCTTAGGGCTTAGGGCTTAGGGCTTAGGGTTTAGGGTTTAGGGTTTAGGGTTTGGGGCGTGCCAGACGGAAGCGCGCTTTGCGAGCTTTCAATATGCCCGTGATTTTGCTCGTTTAATACGCGGGCAATGAGAAGACTTCACGAAATGATCTCTCTCGGCACGGAAAACTCCCTCAGAAAGAATGTCAGCAAAATTCAGTTGATGATCAACCAAGTGCTTGTCTATCCGCTCAGCTCATGCACGAATATACTCACCGGCTGGCTCTTACAAACCCTAAACCCCTAGCCCTCAGCCCTCAGCCCACAGCCCTAAACCCTAAACCCTAAACCCCAAACCCTAAACCCCAAACCCTAAACCCCAAACCCTAAACCCCAAACCCTAAACCCCAAACCCTATCAGCGCAGGGTGGATTCTTCAGATTTTTTCCCTGGCTCTGACATCCTCTTCACGTTGATCTCACTTTGGGTGCTTTTACCCCTCCTCTCCTTGCGAAGCAAGGGATGAAGAGGGTTTAGGGTTTGGGGTTTAGGGTTTAGGGTTTAGGGTTTGGGGTTTAGGGTTTAGGGTTTGGGGTTTAGGGTTTAGGGTCTAGGGTTTAGGGAGATTTCCGCAGGCTCTGAACACTTTAAGCGCACGCCTGTCAAGTCATCCAAGTCATCGAACCTCCCCTAAAACCCAGCAAGTTTTGGGACTTAGCGTCGTACACCCCTAAACCCTAAACCCTAAACCCTAAACCCTAAACCCTAAACCCTAAACCCTAAACCCTAAACCCTAAACCCTAAACCCTAAACCCTAAACACTAAACCCTAAACCCTAAACCCTAAACCCTAAACCCAAAACACTAAACCCTAAACCCTAAACCCTAAACCCTAAACCCTAAACCCTAAACCCTACCCCTAAACCCTAAACCCTAAACCCTAAACCCTAAACCCTAAACCCTGAACCCTGAACCCTGAAAGGCCTGGAATGAGATGACGGCCGCGGTAAAACTGGCAGAGATCGGGCGCGCGCGCGCGCCATGGGGAGGACGACTCGAGCTACCAGCTCTCAGACGCAGGGTTTAGGGTTGAGGGTTTAGGGTTTAGGGTTTAGGGTTGAGGGCTCAGGGTTGAGGGTTGAGGGTTGAGGGTTGAGGGTTTAGGGCTACGGCTTAGGGTTTAGAGGTTAAGGGGTTGAGGGTTTAGGGGTTCAGGGTTTGGGGCTTCTTAGGGTTTTAGGGTTCAGGGCTTCAACCCTTTGAGGTGTTAAGGTTTTGCCACCACATCCTACCAAGGAGAACGTTCCGGGGCGCCGTTGAGGTGCGCGCAGGAGCACAGCCCGCAGACTCGGAGTCTACAATTTTAGGGTTTAGGGTTTAGGGTTTAGGGTTCAGGGTTCAGGGTTCAGGGATTCGGATATGGCCGGATCATTGATCTCTGTATCAAGCTCACTTTTTGGACTTGCAGAAAAAACCCAGAAACAACTTTTGGGAGAAGCCTGATCCCTAACCCCTAAACATCCAAAACAATCCTACATTCGACTCGAAACCCCAACCCCTTCCGATACTCTAAACTAGAAGAAATACACCTTAAACCCTAAACCCTAAACCCCTCTACATATGGATACATGGTTTGGGGGTAAAATGAGCCCGCTGCGTTTTTGTTGCTTTCTCGCAGCGAACTCATTATACCCACACAACAAAAAAACCAAAAACTGGAAAACCAAAAAAACCAAAACCAAAAAAAACAAAAAAAACAAAAAAACCAATTTTGGGGGAACTCCTGGAAGTGGCTTATTATCAGCCCTTACATCGAAAAGTTCCTCAAAATTGGTTTTTTTGGTTTTTTTGGTTTTTTTGGTTTTGGTTTTTTTGGTTTTGGTTTTTTTGGTTTTGGTTTTTTGGTTTTTCAGTTTTTGGTTTTTTGTTGGTTTTGGCTGTGTTTGGTTTTCCAGTTTTCGGCATCTCTATAGCCCTGCTGCAACCCCTAGGGGTGGCGGAGGAGCCTAAGCATGATTTGCAACAGCATATAAGTCTTCATGAAATAATAATGAATTATTCGTTCAGTATTGATTAATAGTTTTTTTATGGTTTACTATAATTTGATTATTAATTACTTGTCAATTTTGTTTATTTATTACTTATTATTTTGTTGATTAATTAGTAATTTTGAATTAATTATTAATAATTAATTCATTCATTAATCATTCATTAATCATGAAGTAATTACTTGTTAATTAATAATTAATTCAAGTAATTCATTGACAAATAATTAACAATCAATTCGCTGGCCAGTCGCGATAACCTTAAAACTTAAAATCGGAACCTTAAATTCTAACCTTTAAACCTTAAACCGTAATTTCCTAAACCTTATCCTTAAACCGTAAACCCTAACCTAAACCCATCAATTATTAACTGCTTAATAATTAATTATTAATTATCAATTAACAATTAATTGTTTATTAATTAGTTATTAAATACTAAAAACTAAGTATTAATTATTTACTATTTAATGATTGATTAGTTCTTAATTAATTAATTATCAATTAAGTATTAATTATTAACTAATTATTAATTGATTATTAATTAAATATATTTCAATTATGAATTAATTATTAATTCAGTACGTTTAAATAATTAATGGTTAATGATTAATTAATGAACTTAATATTAATAAATTATTCATTCATATTCATTTCTGATTCAATCATTAATAGTATTTAGTTATACTTGATGATAGTTTAAATTATTAGTGGTTACGTAAATTTTAATTGATCCTTATTAAGTAATTATTAAATATGAATAATTATGAACTTTTTATTTATTCATTATTCATTTAATTAGAAATTATTATTATTAATTACTAAACTATTAATTTATTGTATATTATTAATTAACTATATTAATCTTAATTAGTGATTATTACTTATTTAATTATTAGCTATTATTATAGTATTCATTATTTATTAACTAATTTCCACGATTTTCCACGATTAATTAATTTAATATATTTTTTTGATTAATTATTTATTTAATTATTAAATCATTTTGTCGTTATTAATTAATTATTCATTAAGTATTAATTATTAATTAATTAATTATTTAATTAATTATTACATAATGACTCAAGTTCACGTTTTGCATCGGCTGGAGTTTGCACACGGTTAGAAGTCATCTGCTGGAAATTTCGTCAGCAGGCAAGAAAACTATCCCCAGGGCGGGAGGGCGGGTTCTTGAACCAGCAGCCACGCATGGTTCACCTTCGTCACTAGTGTCAGTGACTCAAGTTCACGTTTTGCATCGGCTGGAGTTTGCACACGGTTAGAAGTCATCTGCTGGAAATTTCGTCAGCAGGCAAGAAAACTATCCCAAGTCTCCCGTACATCCCAACCGTGTGCAAAACAGGCCTCTGGGCCATAGTCTGTACCAGATACTGCAATGAACTTCTTGTTTGTGCCAGATCATGGCTTGCGACAGAAGTGCTGTGAAGCCGGCCGCGACCTGCTGGATCTTGTCCTTCTGCTCCCGTGGCAGCGAGGGCAGAAAAAGGGACGTAGCAATCTCTTGCAGGTATGTCTCCATGACTCGGGCCGAGGCCCACCGCCCACGGCGGCGCACCAGCTCCGAGTCTTCACACAACTGGAGCAAGAAGGTTGCCCCTCCGGCTCTGAATGAGCCGAGATCAATCGGCCGTGTGCCTTGAGGAGCAGGGGAGGCACCGATCCTTGCCAGAAGTGTGTCAAGTCTCTTTCGGAGTGTCTGAGGCGAGTACGGCCACAACTTTTGATCTCCACCGAGGCCCCTGAAAGCGAGCACTATAATCTGAACCAGGTCCTGGGCTTCGATCTTTGCTGACTGATGTCGCGGTCCTCGCTGCCTAGTCTTTGGCTCTCCTATGCTCAGCAGAACATAGTCCTGAGAAAACAGGACGTCCTCAGGCAATATCAAAGAGCGTCGACAGCTTTGGAGCACCTCGCCTATTCTCATGACGCCCCCAAAAGCCAGAGCAAAGCACCCCGCTTCTCTAACCCAGCCCCAGACCAAACATGCTGCCAGGAGCGCGATCAGGACGACGGGCGGTATCGCAGTATGGTGAACTGTTGGTTCCTCAGCCTGCCACACGAAGCAAAGATCCCAAGCTATCTGAACCTGACGTCTGAGCACCGGCTTCCTGGAAGTCAGAGCGTTGATCGTTTCGGAGAAATGCCAGTAGGGCCTCCCTGAGCCATAGAGGTCTCTGCCATATCTTACCAACCAGTCTGCAGCAACTTCAGCATCAAAGGGTTTCGCGCTCAGAAGGCCATCCAGGTCGAAGCCACCAACCTCCTGAAGCCATTGCGAAAAAGCTGCGAGCAACTTATCCCTCTTAAACCCTGTACGAGACAAAACAAGACGACCAGCAGGGAGGTCTGGGGTCCTCCTGGCTGCTCGAGCAGCATCAGCCGCATTTCGGGGGCTGAGAAAAGTGGCCGACGTGATGCAAAAACAGGCTGTGAAAATGAGGAAAGACAGGTATGCAGGCCCCTCACCTGGGAAACCAAGGGAGGCGTCAAAGTCAAGGAACTTCTTTCCCTCCGACTCATGGCGGCCCGTCTTCCTCTGACCCGGCAGAACGAAACCCAGGCTTCTGGCGGTCCTACGGTCATCACGGTTGAGGAGTTGGGGGGACTTAATGCTATAAGCAACCGCAACCTTCCTATACCCAACCCAAGGCCTGGTCAGGTGAAGACGATGCCCGTCGAGAAAAACTGGGCCCTGCGCAACTTTCAGCAGCTCACCCTTTACAGGCCGGCCCTCTATGGTCTCTGTGAAGTCGCCAGCTCCCCCAGCAACCCAGACTTCCCCCCCCTGGAAAACCGAAAGAGGAAAAATGAGGCTTGGCCATCTTTCATGGTTCATCGAGTCTCTGTGAGGCTGAGATCTGACCTGGCAGAGCAGGGCTATGCTGGTGAAGGCGAACCCTGGCGCGATCTTCTGAACAACCCTGCAGGCAAGCTCTGTCGAAAAGGGAAATTTCCGGACTGGGGAGCGAAGGCCGGTCAGCGGGCCTTGCTGGTACGCGCCACTAGTCCAGTACTTCTCATCAACGGTCCTTTCAAAACGACAAAAGCCTTCTTGTGGGAGGAGCTCGAGAAGATCACCTAGCACCCGAGGGTGGAAATGCTCATGGATGACGGCATTGCGAGCGAAGAGCTCAGCCTGACTGGATGGGTCACTGGCTGGGAGGTAAAGGCCCCGCCGAGGGAAAGCATCACAAAGCCTCTCAGGAAAGTTCACCAAGGCTTTGATAAGAGCGCTCCTCCTTTTTCCGGACTCGGCAGAAAGGAGGATGAGACGGACCCACCTGGCCCTGTTTTTACCTAGGCCTGTGAGGCTGCACAGTGCGACGACGTCGGCCTCATCAGTTCCCTCCAGGAGTGACGGCAGGTGAGGGCTCCTTATCGCGACACTCCTTGTGGGATCGTCTGCGGCATTGAGTCGCGTAGGTCCGAAGACAAATGCGGGGTAGACACCGCCTGCAACACAGATGGCTCCCGACCGTCGGAGGCTGGGTCGGAGGAGCCTTGCTGAAGAGCGCCCTTTAGTGAGGGCACCGCGGGCACATGACGAATCGACTATCAACACAGGCCTGGCGTCATCGCCTTGCAAAGCGACTCTCCGAAGCAAGGAGACACCTGCCTCAGTTTCAAGGGCATTTATGTGCCTCGGCCTTTCCCACCTCCAGGAAGACTCAACATCCCATCTGTGGGTCAAGAGGGCCTCGTTGACAGCAATGTTCTCGAAGCCAGGCGGGAAGTCAGGGCCTTGCTTCTCGCTGTAAGTGATGCAATCACGGAGGCAAGCTGCGATGATCCGAGGTTGATCCTTCTCAAAAGCACGACTGAACCAAAACTCATTTGCGGGAGCGCTCTGGGAGAAAAGGAGTCCTGGAGAACTGCATGGTCCGCTCTCTCCGGGGGCAGGCGGAACCAGCCTAACACCGGGAACAGAAAGGATTCCCCTAGCTTGTGGCAACCCTAAGAACCCTGAACCCTTCTTGAAGAACAGGAGCGCAGCGCAGTTCATTCGGACAGCAAATTTGAAAAGAAAAAGGCTTCTGATTGCGAGAGCGGTACCCTTCTCAACTTTGGCAGCGGTCCTGCTGCTCCGATGCGTGAGCTCTAAGGAAGGCAGCACAACGAGCAAGCTCCGGGCCCTGCCTGTCCCTATGAGGTAAAGAAGCCACTCAAGCACCGACGGCTTGAGCACATCGAACTCGCTGGAACAGCCGAGGTCTATGATGGGGGAGACCCTCATACCAAGCCTAGTACATGCCTCGGCGGGGGGCTGAGACCCAGCAAAGAGGCAGAGGGCATCAAAGTCGAACGCAAGAGGCCTGGGGGGGTCGTCGATCTCGAGGGCCTCAAGCTCGTTATGGTTTGGGCTTCCTTCGGGATCAAGTCTTGTGTAGCATCCTTTTTTATCTGCCGATAGCCAAAGAGAAGCTGCCACTTCGGGTGAGGCCTCGGAAGAACAGAATGCTCCTTTCACACTAGAGGAGTCTGAGCAGTAAATCCGGTCACAAAAGCTCGCAGCAACATTGGACATCATGACTGGCGCGAGCGAGGCAAGGAGAACAAGCTCCTGAGCCTCCTTCCTAGGGAGAAAACGAAGGTGACTGCCTGAAGCCTGACCTGGGTCGGACTTCCCCAAAGCAAAGAAACCATCGAAAATGGAGAAAAGGCACCTCCTGAACATGAGTGCAGAGATCCAGGAACCTGAAAGCGATGACGCAAGCTCCTCGGAGATGGCAGGCAGGGCGGCCGCTCGGAGGCTGATGACAGAGAGCGCCAACAACTTTTCAGTGGGGGCGGAGACAAAGACGCGCCCTGACGCAAGAGGGCCGCTGGAGGAATCAACCTGGGCCCCTGCAGCAGTGAAAACCTCAGAGCCTAGCACATCTTTGTGAGGGGAGCCAACGACTCCTTCTGCCTTGTATGTTTCTTTGGCCTTCGCAACGAGGTCTGCAGCAGCAGAAGACAAAGGGTCGGTCTCCCTTGCCTCGACGGAGAGAGAGAAGAAATCGTCAATGATAAGTGCCTGCCAGGGGCCCGTGCGGGACGGATCGCGTTTGGCTTGCAAACAGTGAGGAGCTTTTAGGAGCCCTGCCCTGTTGAGCATCTCCCCATGAGCCTCGGTGGCAAAATCCACCCCAGCATGGTCCCCCTGATACAGAGATTTGAAGCACCCGTAGACCTTGGTTTGGGGGTCAAAGAGCAGGGAGGGAGGAACTTGGGGCGAAACGAGGCAAGAAGCTCCAAACGCCTCCGCACAGCTGACGCCTGACCTGAGAGAAACAGCAGCAATCTCCCTGGCCCTAGAGAGGGTCTTGGTTCCCTCGAGATCGCCAAGCCGGAAAGGAGGGCCAGTGGCATTCCCCTCAGCCTTTGAAGCGGAGATCTTTGCCTGGTGATAGAAATCGGCCCTGTCCGTGGAAGCCCCGACAAGCTTTGACCCCCGTGGCACAGTGAGGCAAGTGAGGAGATGCCCCGGCGGGAGCTCCCGTGATGGCCCTCTGACTCGTCCCTCCAACCCATTTGCCCCTCTCCTATCACCGATCTGTCTGTCATGCAGATCGGTTTTGTAGGCTCCGAAAACTCGAGTGAGCTCTCTGGGCTGCTTCTGCTCAAAGGAAAGATAAAGGAGACCTCTGCTATCCCAAAGTTTTAGAAGCTCAAGAGTGCGGTCCCTGTTCTCAGACAGGGTGTCTGGGAAAGGAAGGGCGTTTCGCGGAATAGCTCGCAAGACCTTGGGCTCAAGGAAAGGAAGCCTCAGCTCAGGACCAAGGTACTGCTCAAGGCCCCACTCACCGCTCCCAGTGATTTTCAGCCTGGCCGGGTCGGCGTCTCTGTATGGCCTGAGAGACTCAGGGCCACGCGCATCATGCGGAACAAAGGAGGAGAAGGAAGCCTCCCTAGGGTAGGGGAAAGTTGAGAGACCAAGAGAGTTCAAATGCTCGCTCAACTCCCGGAGACGGGCGACAAGGTGAGGACCTCGCCTCCCAGAGGAAAGAGAATGCTTTCCTTTAGAAACACACGCCTCAAGCATCGAACTGAGCCTGGCATAAGCCTTCAAATGGAACTCGTTCGGACGCCTCCGAAGGCTCTCCTCGGGGACATGGCGGCAGTCGGAGTGCAGGAAGTTCAAGCTCATGACGACAATATGCAGAACCTTTCCAAGCAAAGTGTCATGGTCCCTGCCAGCAGCCAAGTCACCGGGGTCAGACCTCGGGTTGCCAACATCGAACAGCGTTATGTCCGGAACAGGCAAAGGGAAAAGGGCGGAGCTAGGAGCACAAGGACCCCTGTGGCGAATGCAAAAAGTCTTCCTTAAGAAACGAGCGAAGGAAGTACGCGAAGATAGAACAAGGCGAGGTAAGGCCGAGGCCCAACTCCAAAAGTCGAACTCAGAGCAAAAACCTGGAACGCCGTCAAAAGGGCTGATGCCAGGCACTCCTTCACGGTCATGGTTTGAGGGCTCAGACGAGGGGCTTGTGGGATTAGGTCCACAGGAAGAACCAGGTTTCTCTATGAAGGCAGGAGCAACCTGGGTGGACTGAGAAAACGCCGAGCCGGCTCGGGCTGGACCACTGGTCGTGCTTTTCGAGGACTTCCGAGAGAGGGTCCCAGAAGCCTGGGGTTCAAAGGAAGCTTTGAGGCTTGCAGGCGTGAGAGCAGGGGGCGCAGGGCATCCTATACCCCCCAAAAGCTTCAAACCACTAGGCCTAGGAACCCTATCTAACCCTTCGGCTGGGAAGCTGCTTTCCGCTCGGCCCAAAGCTTTGCTCGGTGTTGCTTCTTTGACAAAGGCGCGGGAGGCCCTTCGTGAGTGGACGCAGGCGAGGCAGGTGTCGCTTTTCTCGAAATCTCCGCTCTGCGATTTGCGAGTGTCTCCATCTCCTTTACAAAGGCCAACGCCGTTGCAATCCACTTTGGGTCTGACAGATGAGAATACGGCCTCAGAGAAGAGCCTGGCACGTTGCTTGGGGCAGAGAATAGCGAGGCCGGCGGATCTTGCTGCAGCGTAAGAATCCAGCCGAGTTCTGGAGACCCAGCATCTAAGACCAGCTGGTCGACCATTAGCATGAGGAGAGCAAGGGTGTCCTTCGCTCCCTCCACCTGACCTGACCCTAACAAGTCGAAAACCTGCCCTAGCTGCCATTGCACTAAACCCCAAGTGCGCTGATCCCGGAAACCCCCATACCTCTCGAGGTAGCGGCACATCACTGACTTTCCTGCGGTCACTTCTCCTATCATTGAGAGGTCTGCAGTGGGCTCCATACGACGCAGAGCTGCTTCTTGTACTCGCTTGTAGAACGTCCCCCCCCTGGCCCCAAGCTCTTGCTGCAGACGAAGGCGCGAGTTTGAGCCCTTCGTGGAGAGGCTCGAGCTCGCTCCGGGCGAGAGCTCTGAAAGAGGATCCGATGCATTTGCAATTTGGGCCACAAGAGCAGTCAGAGCACGGCTTTGGGCCATCATGGCCGCTGCAAAAGCCCCGCCACCACCTCCTTCTGCGAACTCTTCGCCAGTAGAAAAGGGCACAGCCTGACCTTCCTCCAGATCGACCACGGTTTCTATTGGCCCTCGGTTCCTGGGAGGAGGTCCCAACAGGTCTGCCACAGTCCTGGGCCCCACTGGCGAGGCTGCAATGGTTGAGGAGACCGGCGCTGCGAGGGCCCCTCTTGCAGAGGCGCGAGGCGGGAATGAAACCTGAGACGGTGCCTTGACCTGTTGAGGAGTCCTCTCCTCTCTGGAACCTGACAGAGCGAGATGCTGAACCTGGGTTGTCAGGGCCTGCAGAGCCTCTGCAATCTCGAGCTGCTGGGCCGCAAGCACTGCTACAGTTGGTTTTTTCTTTGCTTCTGGCTTGGCTTTCCTGCTGAGAGCCTTTGGAGCCACATCTGGGATCAACTCCTCCGCCGTAACGTACCCTGCCCCTCGCTCTCCTTCCAGTCCGGAAATCCAAGCGGTGGCGAATGTGACCAGGGCGGTGGCCAAAGGGAAAAGAGAAGGAGCCACCTCGAGGAACGGGACACACTCGGCCAGGCCCTCCTCCAAAACCTCGACTCCCGCCGCCGCGGCATCTTCGAAGTCCACCAGAAGTACTTCCAGCATCCGAGGAGGTGAAGGAGCAAGCCACTCCCCGGCATCGGAAAGCTCGACTGCAGGGGCAGTTGTGCTGATGTGCGGGCCAAGGAGGCCGACAAAGTTTTCGGCCCGAGCACCATCCAGGACCTCCTCCGGAAGGAAGTGTGGAGGCAGAGCAAGCAGGAAACCTCCAGGGCGCTTTAGCACGCAGTAACACACGGCCGGAGGCCCTTCCCCCTCCAGACCCAAAGCTGAACGGAAGTCCATACGTAGAAGGGTCACCTCTCCTCCCTCGGCAGGCAGAATGTCTTCGAGACTCATTGCGAGAGTGAGGAAGGGTATGCCAACCCTGCAGCTGCAACGTAGATGCGGGCTTCCACTTCCGTAGGGAAGGCGTGCGAAACGGTGAGACCGCTCCGGAAGTTATCCACCAGCTGCAAGTACACAGACCGATCAGCAGTAACTTGGACGTGGCTGCTCAAAGGGGTCCTGAGGACAGCGAAAATGCGATTGCTGAAAGCCAATCAGGGCGTGCAGTTAGGGAAGAGCACCTCCCTTGCAGAACGGCACCGAGGGCTTGCCACAGTTGACCTCAAGTTCCTCGCAGTATCGGCCAACACAGCCGGGAGTCTGGGAAGGAGGCCTCAAAGATGGACCTAGGCTCGGGCGAGCCGAGGGGGCTTAGGGTGCGGGGATCTGACTAACCCTAGAACCGCCTAGACCTATCAACCCAACTCCAAGTGACGAGGCTCTCAGGGCCTCGGTGTGCGATGGGGAGGCTTGCGGGCACAGGCCTTGCACGGTGAAGAGAATTGCCGCGGGACCTGGCGATTGAAATCCTGAGGCCTTCGAGCTCCAGGGACAGCTGAGTTCACGAGTCTTCTTCAGGGACGGGTGTGCCCATACAACGCCAGTCTGGCCGCACCGGGAGAAGGAGACTCGAGAACCCGGGCCCGAGAGAGACGATGAATGCGTGATTCTCGGAAGAAGATTGAGTAGATTATCACTGAAACCAAGCAGGCTGCACAGATGAAGCCGAGAAGGAAAGAGAGGGCGAGTGCAGACCAAGTGGTACCCTGACAGTGGACGGGACAACGAAGACCCCACAAATCAGTCTTAACCCCTTCCGAAACCAAAGCAAGAACCTCCCGAAAGAGGGGCCCCCAAACCATTCTTGAACCAGCAGCCACGCATGGTTCACCTTCGTCACTAGTGTCAATTACTTCCTCGTCGGAGGTGAGTGTCCCATCCAGCCCACCCTCATCCCCTACAAAACTTGCCATGGCAAGCCTCTTTTGCTACGACAAAATAGTCGAAATACTTCGAGCACATATAACTATGGCACAAGTGAGCATAGATTCAAGATGCGGAAGACATATTTGCATGTCAAGTGAAAGAGAAAGCAACAAAAACGCAGCGGACTCATTTTACCTCCAAACCGGATACATATATATATATATATATATATATATACAGATATATATATATATATATATATATATATATTTTTTATTTATTTATTTATTTAGTATTTCTTTATTTGTTTATTTATTTTGTTTATCTACGTATTTATGTATTTCTATTTATTTATTTACGTATGGTCAGCTGTCACGAAGAAATCAAAGGGCCTCATGATTCAGACCACCCCCCCCCCCAACTAAAACATACTAAGAAATAAAATACTAACAATTGGTGAAGAAGAAATATGAATTGAACAAAAAACACCCAACATACACGCAAGAACCCTACACCCTGAACCCTTAGATCCTGAAAAAGAAAACCCTGAACTCTAAACATTGAACCCTAAACCCTAAACCCTTCAAAAGCCCTAAACCCCAAAACCCAAACCTAGGATTGCCCTGCAGTTCAACAACTTCGGGCTGCAAGGAGTACAAGTTGGACTCAAGCAATCCCTTGAACCCCAAACCTTCGAAATTTAGGGTTTAGGGTTTAGGGTTTAGGGTTTAGGGTTTAGGGTTTAGGGTTTAACCCCTGGCCCCCCGGGGCAAGATGGGAAGTGTCCTGCCCAGCTGGGACACACAAGGACCAAAACGAGCACAGCAGCCTGGCAACGCAGAGTTTAACAGCCTGTATGGGGAGGGTTAGGCTTAGGGTTTAGGATTTTTGGTTTAGGGTTTAGGGTTTAGGGTTTAGGGTTTAGGGTTTCGTGTTTAGGGTTTAAGGTTTAGGGTTAGCTAAAGTCAGGCGATGTCTGGGTGATCCAACTCAGTGCAATTCTCTCCTCCTGCAGAAGTTCCCTAAGTCATCAAGTATGGTTTAGGGGTTAAGTTGCTGGGACATGGCACTGTTGTTTCTTTTATGCTCAGAAAGCAAGGCAACTTAAACCCAACGTCCGACAAGAATCATCTAAGACAAAAACGACACCCATACACCCATACACCCATACACCCTAATCCCTGGACCCTAAAACCCCACACCCCCCCAAACCCTGAGACCCGAAACCTAACACCCCGAGCCCTGAACCGTAAACTTGAACCCTAAAGCCCCAAACCCCAAACCCTAAACCCCAACTGAAGACTCAACCACCAAGCCTCAAACCCTAAACCCCAAACCCTAAACCCCAAACCCCAAACCCTAAGACCCCAAACCCTAGACCCTAAAACCCGAAAGCCCCAAAAAAAAACAACCCCCCCCCCCCCCCCCAAAAAAAGAAACCACAAAAACCCACAGACTCCCCAAACAACCAAAAAAAAACACAAAAGCAAAAAAAACCCAAAAAAAGGAACAAACAAACCAAAAAAAATGCTTCGACCTGTGCCGATCGATCCGCAGCTTGGCCACATCGGGGCCCATGCACCTGGGCTTGGCCGACGGCAGCCCCCTAAACCCTAAACCCTAAACCCTAAACCCTAAACCCTAAACCCTAAACCCTAAACCCTAAACCCTAAACCCTAAACCCTAAGATTGGGGTTTAGGAGTTCAGGTGTCTAGGGTTTCGGGTTTATGGTTTGGGGTTTGGAAGTTAGGGCTTATGGTTTAGCTGCTTGGGGTTTGGGGCTTAGGGTGTAGGATTCTGTGGCTTAGGGCAAACCCTATCGCCCCAAGCCTCAGATGCCATGGGCCCATGAGTGCCCCAAGCCCTGAAATCCAAAAAGGAGGCTTAGGGTTTAGGGGCTTAGGGCTTTAGGATTTACGGTTTGGGGCTTCGCCAGTCTCAAGCAAACTTGTTCCAGGCCTCGAAAGCTCGTAGGGCCCGCAACCCTAAACCCCGAGCCCCTGGACCCCTCCCCCCCGCAGCCCCTGAGCCCCTGAGCCCCTGAGCCCCTGAGCCCTAAACCCTAAACCCTAAACCCTAAACCCTAAACACCCCAGCCGTAACATCCCAGAAATTTCCAGGGGGTCCGGGTTGAGGGTTAAGGAGTTGAGGAATTGATGTGTGGGGTCTCTGCGCAAATTTACAACCTTGTGCCTTGAGATGTCCAGCCGGGCTGCATGTAGACCTTGTCCTTCGCCGGGGCGGTGCGGTGCACCCTAAGCCCTGAACCCTAAGCCTTCCAGAGCATTCCTACTGGAATTGGAGGCATTTTCCCTAGTGATAATGAAGGGATTTTGCTGGCCTGAAACCTCAACGCGTTAAAACCCTCACCCTAAGCCATGTAAGTCCTGAAGCCGAAACCTAAAACCCAAACCCTAGACCCTAGACCCTAAACCCTAAACCCCAAACCCTAAACCCCAATTAAACCCGAAACCCTAAACCCTGCTCAAACAGAGGCCATTGGGGCCGAGCACATGCGCCGTTAATAGCTTGCCAGGTCAAAGCCTGCAACACCCAAGCCCTGTTTAAAAATTTGGGTTTTAGGGTTTAGGGCTTAGGGTATAGGGTTTAGGGTCTAGGGTTTAGGGTTTGCGGTTTAGGGTCTTTTGGGTCCATAGGGTCCTGGGCCCAAGACCCTAAACCTCAACGTCCTAAACAAAAAACAGCCTGAAAGACAGCCGCGGTCCTTGACCCAGACGCTCTGCGAAAATGGTCTGAGGCCTTTGACCAGCCCGGCCGGGTCCTGCCGTTTTGGGGCGTTTTGGGCCACACATTCGGGGAGTAAGAGTTGGTCCTGGCCACCTACAAGCCTAGAGTCCTAGGCTGCTAGAAGCTTAGGGTTTAGGGTTGAGGGTTTGGGGTTTGGGGTTTGGGGGATGAGTTTGGGGGTTTGAGGGTGGAGAGTGTTGGGTTTAGGGTTGAGGGTTTAGGGGTTCATGTGTGTCTAGAAGAACGGGCAACTCACACGAGCAGAGATCAAGCCGCAAAGCCACGATCATGCGTGTGGCCACGTGTGTAGCTCATCCGAGTATGACAAACGACAACAACTGAAGGGTTCGAGGTTTAGGTCACGCGACACGCGGGTTCAGGGCTTTCGGGCTTGGGGCATCGGCTCAGGCGAAAACCTCCAGCACCAAGCCCTACACACAAACCCCTTGACCCCTAAACCCTAAATCCTGAACCCTAAACTCCTGCACCCTCCTACACCCGCCGACACACTCGATGTGCAGAAACTGCCCCTCCTCCGTAACGGGGAACACTCCGCTGCTCGAAAAAATGGCCACCTGCAAGATTAAAGAGTGGGGTTCGCTAAGCTTTCCTTCTCTTGATGAGAACGGACTTTCTTGGTGGTGTATTTCTCTTGTGGGGCACTTTCGCTCGTTCCGAACTTTTCTGGCTTTCCTGAGACCCTCCTGGGACCTCCCTGGAACTAAAACCCTAAACCCTAAACCCTTAAAGGACCGGAATTCTCAGAGCTGTCTGAAAAGCATGGGCCACTGTGGCGGGAACCTGGACTCCTTTTGACTGGGGACCCCGAAGTCGCCTCGGGACGTTTGAAAGACCTAAAAAGTCATCGGCTGGGCCTTTGAAACCCTAAGCCATAAAGCCCCCAGACGTTCTCTAGGGTCTGCGAGTGAGGCTTAGGGTTTAGAGGTTAGGGTCCAGGGCTTAGGGCTTAGGGCTTAGGGCTTAGGGTTTAGGGTTTAGGGTTTAGGGTTTGGGGTTTGGGGTTTAGGGTTTAGGGTTTAGGGTTTAGGGTTTAGGGTTTAGGGTTTGGGGTTTAGGTCTCATGTCCACTCACTAGTCAAGCAATGCGTTCGCAAGCAGGACAGCACCCACCCAAAAGAATCGAAAACACATAGCTCACTCCATCCATCCCCAGTAGGCCCTCAATTCTACAGCCCAATAAACCCCTCAAATACCCTCAACACTCAAGCCCAAGTCCCAGAGTACCCCCCTAAACCCTCAAGCCCAAGGCCCACAGCAAGCCCTACAAGCCCTAAACCCTAAACCC